TCCCGGCAGCGCCCAGGAGCCAAAGGCCCTCATGCTCGGACCCCAGTGCAGGCGGCGGGGTGGGGCTATCACCACACAGATGGTCCCAAGGAACAAGCCCCCTATGGGCTCCGGGGCAATTCCCACGCCCAGCTCCAGTCCCAGGACAGCAGTGAGGCGCTTAATGGGGGAAGCCTCCCCCCCGCCACACGGTGCAGTGCCTGGAAAGAGGAACCTCAGAGGGTTTGTGGAACGGTCAGCCCCAAAAGCCGGTGGCCCCAAGTTAAGAAACCCAGCCCCACCGAGGGAGGGTCTGCACCCCGAGTGCTTGGTGCCCGGGCAGTGCGGCAGGACCCTGCCCGTCCTGCACCCACGTCCTGGCCATGACTCCTGAAGACCACAGGCCAAAAGGTGACAGGGCCACGGCCACTCAGGAGCACGGCCCTGTCCAGGAGCTCAGGGCAGGGGTGCAGCACTGCAGATGCTCGCCCTGAGGCCCTGCTCCACAGCCACTCGGCGAAGCGTAGGAGTAGCACCTGGCTTCTCCCCTGGGGCGCTGGGACGCAGGCCCGCCTGGCAGGGGCTGCCTCAGAGGACAAGGACGCCATGATGGATTTGGCCCAGGGGACTTGCTAGCAACACCAGGAAGTGCACCTGAACTCGAGGAGGGCTGCACCTGTGGGCAAAGTCCCGCGGGCCTAGCTGTCCTCCAAAGGCCTCCGCACACCCCTGCACCCGGAGGCTGCACCCCTGCCTGCATCATCACACAACAGTACATGCTGGCTGCACCCCGAGAAAGGACCTGGGTAGCCTCCAAAGGTACTTTCCGGAGCCAGCACCTGCACCTACACCAAGTACAAGACCAGCCAGGGACCCCAGCAGCAGCCCAGCTCCTACCGGCCTGCGCAGACTCTGCCCTAAGATCCAGAGGCCACTTCTGCGGGGGGCCCAGGGCCCCTCGCGGTTCCGGCCGCCTTTCGGGTGCCGGCAGCATCCTGTGGTTCTGCTCAGCCTCCAGTTCTGGGGGCACGGGGCAGGGCGGGGGCATTAAAGCAGGAAGACATCCCCCCCCCCCTTCAAATCCAGGGACCCAACCACTGGCAATTCCGACCACTGCCAGGGAACCGAGTCTCCGGTGGGTGGGAACCGTGCCAGGCCCGGACTCGTGGGCCCTTCTTATCCACCGGCTGCCATGGCGGCTGGGAGGCCGGAAAGTACATTGGCCTGAACCCCAGAGAGCTAAGACGGTCACCGAGGCCACACAGGGGCTCCCCGGTGCAGGGCATGGGCCAGAACGGTCGGTCCGAGAGAGGGGCGACGTGCGGAACCCCAAGTCAAACCTCACCCGAGCCTCAGGTTCTGCGGGTCACCGGGCAGGTCACCCTGCGGCCGCGGGGCAGACAGGCAGGTGTGAACCCC